CATTGATTTTATTTATTGAAGTATGACTAATACAATAATTAAAGATATTGATAAATTTCTTGCATTGCAGTCACAAACAAGTAAAAAATCTTTAAAAGGTAAATATTCATTCTGATCTGAAAATAATCCTGGACGAGGAAATACTGTATAATTTGATTGATGTCATGTGCTCTTTTTAGTCGCAACATCAGTCAATGAAGATAATATGCATAAAAAATCTAAAAAAAGAGATCACGAAACAACTGGTTTAAGTAGTGGGGTAAACAAACAAATGAAAAAATCTAAGGTGTATGTAATAACTAAGGAAATAACATCCCTTCCGAAAGAGCTCGTGTATTAACGATATATGCGTGCATGCATACATACATTTAATCACAGCGTGTCGAAAAATAATGGAACTATCATCAAGAATGGAACCTTTGTATGCAGATTTTTAGATCCATCATCAATGATTATTAGAATTAAAAGTATTCTAACGGTTTTACATATATAGGTAGCTGCAAAGCAACCAAAATCTAAAGATCCAGAGGAAAACTGGATTTTGGCAACGGTCGTTGATTACCGAGCTGATACTAAGCAGTGAGCATTCTTAAATAATTTCAGAAGTTCTTTTATCATAATGACCTTACATACTTATCCTCTCGCATTGACGAATAGCTATGAAATCGAGGATATAGATAAAGACGAGGCGTTAAACAGGCCCGGAGAGTAAGTCTACTAAAGAGCTTTTTATGCACACAAGGAAACCCGGAACTCATGTAGAATATAACTTGTTTTAGGCGTTTTTCGGTGCCCTCTAAAAATGTTATTGAAATCCCTAATCAAGGAGAAATGCGAATACCAGAATTTCCACAGTCACATACGGTTATTGCTTTGTATCCTAGTACAACATGCTTTTACAAAGCGGTTGTGGTTACGCCCCCTAGCAAGTCAACACCTCGAAATCATTATTTGCTTGCTTTTGAAGATGATGAGGGTGTCCACAGACACGTCGAAGCGCATCATGTCTTAGAAATGCCTGATGATATCAAATGAATGTGAAGCCAATTAGAGAAAACTCATCTTTATAAATAATAGATAGTGTTTACTTAAGGTATATGTATTGAATAACTTGACAAATAATAATTTTTGGTTTTTATATATAACTGATGAAACTTTAACTAAATGTAGCAGTTTGGATTCTTTTTGAAGATTCCATTTACCGAATTAATAATTTTTATTGTCCGTTAATAATAAAATAACGGGCATTCCGACGCCGACCACATAAATACAATATATTTTGAATTTAAGTTACTTCCAAAATAGAAAGGTTACTATAAGTCAGAGGAGATCAAATCAAAAAATTTGATAAATTCTATGCATATTCAACAAAGTTCGAATGGCCTAATACCAGATTTATCAAGTTAAATTTATATCAACGTTCAAAAGTATAATAAGAAATAATATCCACCTGTTTCTTTAGCATGTTGCACTGCCTCTTTATCCCCTTTTAGTCCTTTTTTACATTGATCACAACGCAAAGTGAAATCAGCTGTGTATGTATATTTATGCATCTGTGTAATTAAAGTATTAGAAAGAAAGGACATATTAATTGCAAATAATTTAAATCAAGATTTAATGATTATTTACTTGTTTCATTTTATCTGCAATTTCAGTAGAGGCCGTCAAAGTAGTCTCATCTGACGCATCAAAAATTGTTTGATCAAATTCAGGACTGGCCTCGGTAGTTGGTGTAAAAGCAATGGAATCATAGTCTAGATAAGTTTGAAATAAGGTTGATTGATTGACCAATATGCTTGAAAGATGCTTCAGACAAAGATACTCACGTATTCCACTAAATTAATAGAGGTAAAAATAAATATATTACACACCATTGAAATAGGAAACCAAGAAAAACCATATTTACAAACAAACCTGTATATTATATACACGCATTGACCGTAATTTCCTTGACCTAAAAAGAACACGTCAAAGTTAATATAACATTACTGACACAAGTATAAAAAGTACAGCACCATATCGATCAATTCTTCCGCTTTTAACATCTATACTTCGAATTTCTTGAATATCAAAAACTAGTCAGTATAGAAGTGATATAAAATACTATGAACAGAAATTGAACCAATAAGTAAACAAACTTTACCAACTTTGTAGTGGGATGCAAAAATGGCAAGCTCTAAAATATATTATGTTAACGTCGTGATAATAAAAATAAGTGAGTCTAAAGTTTCTTATTATCCTACCAATAGCACCACCCCAACTATTTCTTTGCGCTATCCAAGAACAGTACTCATCTCGAGACCTGCCCAAAACAACGTCAGAATATTTTTCTGGGTCCTTTTTAATATACTCAATAATAGCTGGTTTGTAAAATAAAATGGTCTTATTAGCTTATGTAAAATCCATCCAAATACCATGACAAAAATAGTTGATTCTACTCTGTCTAAGATGTTGAGGGTCCTTCGATCTTTCAAGTACATAACTTAAGATTATTGAAAAACGTAAGTATGACCTTCAAGCATAATCTTAATCGAACGAAACAAAATATACCCTATTATTACGTGAATTGCGCAATTAAGTTAAATTTAGATAAATTAGAAGAATTGTTCATATAAGTTACTCACCAATTGCACGAAATAGACAAGAATTATCATCTTCCATTTCCTAACATAGCATTTCAGTAAACACATCAATGGACAAGATAGAAAGTAATGGTTCGGAAAACGTACTCTCAGGATAACAAATCCATTTTCCACACGTATGACTATGGTGTCCTTTGTGGACGAGGTATTCGCTTTAGGTTGACTATCCAATTCTGATAAGGACAGTTCACTGAGAATGATTACTTCTCCATTTTGTATCCCAATTGAAATTAAAGTATCCTGATCTCCCGCTTTACAAACGCGAGGTGGATAGCCTATCTTAACTAGATAATAAAAAAAGTCAGATGGATATCAAAACATAAAATTTGTATAAGAAAAACGTACGTTCTTGATGCAAAGGCGAGATCCCAGTAAGTGTTTGAATTGAATGTTTCAACTCCAAAAATGTTGAAGTTTCGGTTAAATTCGTAATAACATGAACTTTATCGCGTTCACGGACTCTTAATCTCATATTTATACTGATAATTCTTAAAAAAATAATAGATCATTGTTCTTTATCTCTTTTTGGCCAGCATACTCAATTGTGTCACTTGAATTGTATATATTATTATAAAATCAATAAATTTTTATTAAATAAAAAAATCCTTTATATTAATAATAAACGAATATATATATATAATTTTATTTAATTTTAAATATTTTATAAAAATTTTTGTATTTGATATAAGATGTATAAGTGTTTTATGTGTAATATATTATAAAACTTTCTGAAAATTATTTTAAAAGTCATAACAATTTTAATATATAATTTATATAATTTAATTTAATTTTTTTTTTTAAACTTGAAAATAATTTATTAATTAAATTAATTATATAATAACAGATAAAAATTTTATTATATATTTTTTTTTTAAAAAAAAAATTCAAATTATAAAAATTCAAAGATTTTTTAATAATCTAATATGTTTGTAATTATTATAAAACAAATTTTAATTGAATAGATACATATTATTTTTTTTAAAACAATCTATTTATTTGTTTGTTTATAATTAACAAAAAATTGTAATTAATAAAATATAGAAGATATCAAAAATTTTAAATAAATTTAGCCTTGGAAAATAATTTATTGATTAAAAACATGCATTTTGACGACGGTTCACAAAACGTCTTTATTGCCACTAGGCCAATAAGATTTGTTTGGTTTCCTCGTCCTTACAACAATCTAATGCGACTCGATTTTTATTATCTCTAATGGTTTCAACATTTTTTCCCTTCAGTATGGAAATGACTTCCTTAGACCCATTTTCGCAGGCCTTGTGTAACGAAGTTTGACCATCGGAGTCTTGCAACCTGGGATCGGCTCCATAGGATAATAAGAGATTGACCACATTTAAATGGTTATTTGCAGAAGCTCTATGAAGCGGCTATAAAATCAACAGAATTTTGTTCTAAGAATAACCTATAATCTCTAGAATTGACAATTAGAAATACAAACGCACTGTTGAAAGTAGCTCAGGAGTCACAGCATTAACATT